ACCATGTTAGCATCATGTTCAAATTTTTTTCCAGTAATACATTAATAGTGTTCAATATGGAACCGACTCCCAAGCGCATAACAACAACAACAATATGCAGCCAATAGGCAAAGTTGGGAATCTACATTTTTTTAAAAAAATGTTCCCAGGTGATTGACTTCCTAGATGTTTTTGGAACCACTGTACTAGATATGAAGGAGCTCTGGTAGCATAATGGTTACGAATTGTGCGAAACTACCAGCTGTTCTGCGGGAGAAAAATGAGACTTTCTGCTCACATAAAGATTTACAGCCTCGGAAACCCTGTACAGGATCGCTATGGGTATGAATTGACTCAACAACACTTAACAACAACAACATACTAGATACGGAGTCCTGGTGTGATGCTGTGGGTTAATGTGAATTGCAAGGTCGGGGGTTTGAGCTCACCAGCCACTCTTAGGAAACCCTGTACAGGATTGTTATGAGTTGGAACTGACTTGAAGGCACTTAACAACAGTATACTAAATATGAAGACCTGGTGTGTCGGTGTGGGTTAATACACTGGACTGCAAGGTCGGCGGCTCAAGCTCACCAGCACCTCCTTGGAAACCTTATACAGGGTTGCTATGGGTCAGAACTGACTTGACGGCACTTAACAGCATGTTAGATATATGGAGTCCTGGTGTGGTGCTGTGGGTTAATGTGCTGGACTGCGAAGTTGGTTTGAACTGCAAGGTGGCCGGTTCAAGCTCACCAGTCGTTCCATGGAAACCCTATACACGGTCGCTATGGGTCAGAACCAACTCTACAGCACTAAACAACAATACTAGATTATCTATACGTTTCCTTTCGGTTCTTATTTTATGGGTTCATTTATCCACTGGAAGAATTCAGTCCTACTTTCTTCTTTAAAGAGCCCTGCTAGAGCCTTGGATAAAGCGCTAGCCTAACTGGATGGTCACCCTTCCGCAGGAGAAAGAAGTGGCAGTTTGCTTCTGTAATGATTTACAGGCTTGGAAACCCTTTGGAACAGTTCTACTCTGTCCTTATAGGGTCATGATCGCAATGGACCCAAAGACAATGGGTTTGGATATGGATTTGAGTCCTAAGAACATGCTCTATCCCACTTCACCCTATCAAAATGCTCCCATCAATTTCGACTCAATGTGACCCTTAGGATTTCATAGATTATGACAGCCTCATCTTTCTTCCCTGAAGCAGCTGGTGGGTTTGAACCGCCAGCCTGAGGATTAGCAGCACAACACTTAACCCAATACGCCACCAGGAAACCTCACCCTGCCAAAGCTCCATAGCAACAAAAAGGGCAAACAACTGCGCATGCGTCACGGTGATAGCCTAGCGCGACTGCCGTGTTACTATGGCAGCGCGACGCCAACAGGCGAAATCGACGCACGACTACTTCCGCTTTCACTATTGCAATACTACCGGGTTGAAAGAAAAATGGCGATGTATTTAGGCGGTAAGTTCAGAACGTTTTGATTAGTTCTTTCTGCTAAAAAAGAAATGCGCATATGTAGATCGAGTACTGAGTGGTTATTGTCTTAATTTTTCTCTGTACCCACCTTTGGCCTGAGGACTCCAGGGTTGGGATGGCGCCTGTCTCAGCTGCCACTCCAGGCTCGGTCACATGGGAACTGAACCTTGGGTCTTAAAGAACTAGAGGATCGAGAATAGGACATTTGGCTAGATCCTCCCTTCAGGTCACTAAATGCAAACCCCCAAAAAAGTAGGCTCTCTGTCATACCCCAAAGATAGAGAATCGGAGAGGAGGCTTGGGCATGTGCCCTACAGAGCGGGAAGTGGTGTGTTCCAAACGTTATTAAGTGCCGTCCAGTCGGTTGCGACTCATGGCAATCTTGTATAGAGTTTCCAAGGAGCCACTGGTGAGCTTGAAGCGCAGACCTTTTGGTTCATACCGGCCTTGCCGTCCATCGCATTAACCCACAGCGCCACGCCAGATGGTTTCAAATGGTCGTGGTGGTAGGGTGATGCGGAGTCGGTTTCGACTCATAGCGAGTCTGTGTAGGGTTTCCGAGGCTGTAAATCTTTATGGGAGCAGAAAGCCTCATCTTTCTCCCGCGGAACGGCTGGTAGTTTAGAACTGCGGACCTTGAGGTTAGCAGCCCGATTCGTACGTAACCACTACATTATCAGAGCTCCTTAATGTTCCGAATTTGTTGTTAAGTGCCAAAGAGCCAATTCTGACCCATAGTGACCCTGTATAGGGTTTCCAAGGAGCAGCTGGTGAGCTTGAACCACCAACCTTGCAGTTCGAATGACTTTGCAGTCTGACGCATTAGCCCACAGTGCCTCACCAGGAGGATAAATATATATATCATTTATTCTGTATGTGTTGATTGCTCTACTAGTCTCTGGAAGATACACTAGGAGCAAGACAAACATCATTCCTGCATTAAGGAGAGTAATCATATCATAAAGGCAATAGGGAAGAAGCTAGATTGCTGGAAAACGCTGTGTAATAGGAGACAGGACCCAAGTTAAGGCATTAGAGAAAACCTTGAGGAAGTGGTTTTCAAACTTAAACCAGCTAAGGTGCAGGAACGGGTAAGTAGTGAAATGTACAAGAACACAATGTATTCTAGGAATTGAAAGAATGTTCTATCATAAGGACCTTGTAGGTTTGTTTGGATTTTATCTTAAGAATAACAAGGGAGACATAACTTTTTTTAGTGGGGACTGACTATCTGATTAATATATTTAAAAGGTTGTACTGTGTTTAAGAAGGAGCTCTGGTAGCATACTGGATTACCAACTGTGCTGCTAACCACAGGGCTAGCAGTTCAAATCTACCAGTTGCTCCACAAGATAAGATGAGGCTTTCTCCTCCTGTAAAGATTTATAGCCCCGGAAACCCTATATGTTGTTGTTGTTAAGTGCCATCAAGTGGGTTCCAACCCATAGCGAGCCTGTATTGGGTTTCTGAG